GGCTAGCCAATTCAATAAGCTTGTCATTCGAAACTCATTGATACGACTCGGACACGAATTTTAACTAGGGGATGGAATATTTCTCTGGCGCAGTACAACCATTTTCAAAATAAACATTTAGTGATCAAAATGAAATGAATGCATAGAGTGACCATTAATTTATTTGTGTTGTAATTGGCAATATTATAACTTGCAAAATCATTAGAGAAAAGGGCGACACGAAGTACAATTACTGCAATATCCGAAAAATAAATGCAAAATTATACTTCAAAAATCGTTTATATTTTCATATTATTGGGTCTACACTTACCCGGAGTCATGCATATATGCCCACAACCATTGGAGCAGCATTTAGTGTCTCCTTCACAGTCATAATCATTCCCACATCCCTCTAAGCATATTCCTGTACCACCTTCTAACTCAGGACAATTTCCTGGTTTAACATCAGGAACTGAAGCGAACGAAATATATTACTTGTTTAGACAGTCATTTGGACGGTACTTTTATACATTGCACAAAACAACTGATTTTTCATTTTGTATTCTTGTAATAACAGCTAAATTATCTACATATGTGTCAATAAACTGTTACTACTGCCTCGGCTGGCCAATTCAATGAGCTTGTCATTCGAAACTCATTGATGAGACTAGGACACGAATTTTAACTTGGAAATGGAATATTTCTCTGGCGCAGTACAAACATTTTCAAAATAAACATTTAGTGATCAAAATGAAATTAATGCATAGAGTGACCATTAGTCTATTTGTGCTGTAATTGGCAGTATTAAAACTTACATAATCATGAGAGAAAAGGGCGACACAAAATACAATTACTGCAATATCTGAAAAATAAATCTGGAATTATACTTCAAAAATCGTTCATATTTTCATATTAATGAGTCTACACTTACCCGGAGTCATGCATATATGCCCACAACCATTGGAGCAGCACTTCGTGCCTCCTTCACAGTCATAATCATTCCCACATCCCTCCAAGCATATCCCTGTACCACCTTCTAGCTCAGGACATTTTCCTGGTTTAACATCAGGAACTGAAGTAAACGAAATATATTACTTGTTAGGACAGTCATTTGGACGGTACATTTAGACATGGCACTATAATAAGTGATCTTTCATTGTTTATTCTTGTCATATGAGCCCAATATTCTACGTATGTGTCAATAAACTATTACTACTGTTTCGGCAAGCTGATATCATAAGCTGGCCATTAGAAACTCAATGATAAGACTAGATTACGAATTTCAGTTAGGGGTGGAGAATATTTCTCCTGCTCTGTACAAATATTTTCAAAATATACATTTATTGATCAAAAAGAAATGAATGTATAGAGTGACCATTAATAGATTTTACTAAGACTAGAACACGAATTTCAATTGGGGAGGGGTGGAATATTAATCTGGCGCAGTACAAATATTTTCAAAGCAAAAC